GAATTAGAGGGGGGATACAAAGTAAATAAAGTATAATTTTAAAAAAGAGAGAATACAAATCTGAATGTATATGCATTCATTACCATTAAGCATTTAAAAGGGGCTATTGAGCAGTGACAATAAAATAGTGAGGAAAGCAGATTGCAACACCTCACTTCCACAGACTGATGAGCGTAGTGGGAGAAATCAAGCTCTCAGCATCCTACATTTTTTTTTTCTAGCTATCATGAGATGGAAAAGCTACAGCCCTTCCCATGTTAAGTCATGGATACAGATCTGGGCATCTTCAAAATGAGCTGTATTATTTGCCTTCACCAATTACAAGCTCTGCAAGTATTTTGAACATGGAAATACAAAAATATTAACGTAATACTACAATCTAGCTTTTAATTATTAAAGTGTAATTTTTTTTCGAATCCCTTATTCTGAGAAGACTATATCAAAATGTTAACATTTTTTAAAAGTTCAGAAAAATTTTTTAAAGATGAAGAATCCACTTAGTAATTCTAACTAAAGAATTGTTCTTTAACTGGCATGTATAAGTGTCTTGAAGTTCTAAGTTTTGTTGGTTGCAGCATAAAATATTTGTTGATGCAGAATAAATGCAAATTACAGCTTCCACTTGTATGGGCAATTAGAAGTGTGAATCTGGTGCTAAAGCAGTGTGAGGTGTGCACTGATCTGTATAAATAAAGGAGTTCCCTAAGGACTAGAAATCCTTAGATTTTTTTAAAAACATTCGTATGTCAGTTTCAAAGCTACTGCATCAAGAAGAACAATTATGTTGGTAGCAATATGCAGCACTGTGTTTTACATGCTGACTGCCTGCCAGCATGTCTTATTTACTGTCACACAGATCTTAACGTCTGTGTGGCTTGCGCGTGAAGAGACCCTGTCTCCCCTTGGTTCACTTTTAGAAACTCAATTAGTTCATTAACCATAAAAGATCTACCAAGCTGCTTTATAATGCAACACACACAAACACACACACATACACACACACACACACACACACACACACACACAAAGCAAACAAACAACCCCATGAGACAACAGTTCACCTCTGGGTTCTTCCTAAGGCCGCTTACAAAATGATGCTCTTCCAGAGGTACCCGGTTCTTACTGAATAATTTTCTACTTTTAGCCTCCTATGGACAAACGTGAACTATTTCTCTTTTTCAGTACACTGTTGTCACTGGTATTGTAGCTCTTTAATTTCATAGAAGACGTGAAATGAGCTAAATGTTACTTTTGGCATTGTGACATCTTGATTCACATAGTGCAACAGCTCAGCCTGATTAAACACTGTATACCAGTTTAGCGACAAAAATACTTAGAAAAGAAAAGGGATGTTAACCTTTTCACACTGTGTGTGTGTTATTTCTCCCAATATAAAACATTCCCTGTACCTTTTATTGCTTCTGACTCATCCTTCACAACAAACATCTTCCCATCAGTGGCAGCACAACTAATTCCAGGCTTAAAATCCTGGATTGGATCTCAAATTTCATTTGGATGGAAATCGTGACTAAGTTGACAAGCAAATCTCTTCCACACCTGGGCTTGCCTTCCCCTCTGGCTCCCTGTCTGGGTGTTCTCTGCTCACCCCCATCAGCTTCGCACCCTCCTATGTCCCTCTCACTTTAGCATCCTGACCTTGAGAGAGAAGGTTTCCCCTTGTGCACTGCTACCACAAGGTGCCACCCAACCCAGAGGAAGCAGGCCACCAGCTGATCTCAGTCCTTGGCTTCTACAAAGAAGAGCTCACATTGCCTTTTGTCCTTGCAGCTTCTCTTTGTTACCATGATGGAAAACTCACTTGTGCAAATTGTAAAAAACTGGAAAAGGGCTGCTGTTTTGGTCACTAGTGTAACCAGGGAAACTTGAACAGTAAGGGGAATCTTTTAAATTATTAGTCATTACCAAATAAATGAAGAATATCTAAAAATGCTATTTTAATAGAACTTTTAAAATATATATTTAAAAAATTAAAATACATATTCAATATCTCAGTTTCTCTTCTTAGATTCTCTGCTTTTTAGATCCTTTCACACCACTGTCCACTCCTCTAGCTTACTCCAGCTAGAAGGCATCAACTTTTATACACAAAGAACCACAGGCAAGTAAGGAATGCTGAAAGTGAAAGAAATAGTCTTCTTCAGGAAAAGGCATACTCATTAATTAGTTAACCAAATCCAGATACTCAGTCCTGAAAACATCCATACTAAGTAACATTCCACACACTGAGCTGTTGACACTTAGAAATACATGTGTATATATACACACATACATATGTGCATACACACATATGCTAGCAGCAGTAGTCAGCAAAATAAGAGCACATGAATTGGAAAGGAAGCAAGGTGATAGGCGGGAGTGTTTGGAGGAAGAAATGATGCGATTACAGTATAATAAGCAAAAAGCAAAACAGACAACAACAACAAAAACAAAGCCACAGTTTCAGTCAGTAATATGATCTGAATTCAGTACTCAGTTTCTGAAAAAAAAAAAAAAAATCTGCTCATCAGGTACTACAGATAGTGTAGTGGAATCATTGATTTCCAGGTTCAGTGAGAGATTTTGACTCAGAAAATAAGGTTGAAAGCAATTGAGAAAGACAATCTATATGGACCACTACTCACCCCTACTTCAACACACACAGAACAATCTCAGATTGCCCTTATATTGGCATTCTCTGTGTTTAATGTCATCCTTTATTGCGCTTTCCTTATCAAGAACTTGCAATTGCATCACAGAATTGATTGCAGTGTTTCGGTCACATGATTACATACTTTTCTCCTTTCCATTAAACTGACTTTGAGTTCCCTGAAGTGTCCCTAGCATGTAGATTGAAAGCATAAATTAATGAATAGATAACATGGGCAGTTGTGTCATGTAACAACTCTAATTTCATAGGTTTAGCGTGTCAAGGATTTTAGTTTGCTTAGAAAGCAATAATTTGACATAAGCACGTTCATGAAACTTGAACTTAAATGGTCAATAGTAATATCATCAGGATTCTGCTAGAACATTTTAAAGACTGGGTATTGGGATATTGTCAGATGATAGAAGCAACAATTAATGAATCTGGGATCTTATCAGTGCCTGCTTAATGATGGTTATAGAAACTACTGGAGAGCACTTTGTATTTAACTATACACAGTGCAGTATAAGGAAGAAAAAATAGATTATAATGTTTGGAAATGGACAATTTGAGGATGCAAATCATCAGAACAAGTAGAGAATATTTGTGTAGAGTTTAATAAGCCTTTAGACTATAAGAGTGTTGTGATGGGATTTCATAAGGCAAGCTTGATGGGGATATGGTATGTATGCATTGTTTGTGGGCGAGCAGTCATGAAGAGACCTTGATGAACTTAATGTGTGAGAGTACTTATTCTCTTTCAATGTTTAAGCTCTTGCATTTATTTTTCTTTTAACTTTTTTATTATTATTATTTAATTATTATTATTAATTACACTTTATTTTGTATCCCCCCATAAGCCTCCCTCCTCCCCTCCTGATCCCACCCTACCTCCCCTTTCTTCATGCATGCTCCTCCCCACGTCCACTGATAGGGGAGGTCCTCCTCTCTTTCCTTCTAATCTTAGTCTATCAGATCACATCAGGAATGGTTGCATTGTCTTCTTCTGTGGCCTGGTAAGGCTGCTCCCCCCTCAGGGGGAGGTGATCAAAGAGCAGGCCAATCAGTTTATGTCAGAGGCAGTCCCTCTTCCCATCACTATGTAAGCCACTTGTACACTAAGCTGCCATGGGCTACATCTGTGCAGGGGTTCTAGGTTATCTCCATGAATAGTCCTTGGTTGGAGTGTGAGTCTCTGGGAAGTTCCATGTGTTCAAATTTTCTTGTTCTGTTGCTCTCCATGTGGAGACCCTGTACTCTCCAGCTCTTAGTATTTCCCACTTCTTACATAAAATCCCATTCACTCTGCCCAACAGTTGGCCATCAGGCTCAGCATCTGTTTTAAGACTTTTACCTTTTGTAAGTGTAGATTTTATTCTCTCAGATGAAGGGATGAGATCAGAGCTGAAACCGAGCTTTACAAATACATGGCTGAGCGGCCTGAGCCCAGAGCATTTCTAACTATCTCTAGGCTTAAGCCTGGAAGCTTCTACACTCTGTGCAATCTAATCTTCTTCAAGCCTGGACCTTTAAGGCTTCAGCTTCCAGCCTCTGTGTGCTAACCTAGGCATAGAATGTTTTTAGCGTCTGAAAATTACTGATGAATAAGTCCACCCTTTCTAATTCTTTCTAAATTCTGGTTGGCTGGTTCAACTTTACTGTGTTTGGCTCATAACTCTTCTCCAAGTTGACTGATTCAAACTGGCTTCTCTCTGCTTCTCACTGAATTGCTCTGCTTGGAAAAACTGCCTCTGAACTCCACAAACTGAACTGCACCAACTCAGCTGCACTCAATTGAACTGCACGGAACTCTACTGTACTCCAAAATTCTACTGTACTGTCTTCATGAGCTTTTGTTCTTTCTCTGCACTGGTCTTAAGTAGCTTCTCTTTCCTGTAAGTTCTCCTGACAGCTGGGCATATATTGTCTCTGACTCATCCTGACAAATCTTTCTCTGAGTCCTCACTTTGTATGCTCTTGAATTAGATGTCATTGTTTGGGATTAAAAGTGTGTACTAAAGGCCTTTCTATATTTTAGCTAGAGTATTTAAAGGCGTGTAATTTACCCAGAGGGATTAAAGGTGTGTACTAAGGGTGTGTCTATATTCTAACTGGATCACACAGACCTAAGACTTTGAATATGATCCTTGCCAGAGCAGCCATTTCATTGGATTAAAATCCCTCTATAACTTTTTATTTATGTATGGGGAAAGGTATGTGCTAGAGAACACATGTGAAGTTGGAGAATAGCATCTTAATCTATTCTCTCCTTTCACAAGTGAATCTCTTTTTGATTTTGTGATACTCGTGTCTCTTACAATGCCTACAAATGCACTTTGTAAGCAAACATACTCACCACCTGACAGCAGAGCAGGCTTGCTCTTTACATTTGGGCTGGAATGGGGAAACTTGTTGCTGAATGACATGAAAAGGTGGGCAGTGAAGTCGTCAGGGAGCTCAGCTTCCAGAAAGGTCTTCATGAACAGCTTGAAGCCTTCAAAATCTATGGTCTACAAAAACAAATGTAAGTATGTAATTTCAGATCTGGTGAAATAACAACATTTTACCATGTTCAGAAGTTACCTGAAATGTTTTCTATATCCAAGTCTACAAAAGAAAGATACCAATATGAGTCCAAGGCTTAGTGGTTTTAAAGCGTCTCACATTTGATAGTGTAGAACAAAGATAACATGATTTCTAGTTAGATATTTCTATCTCCACGTCAACCATGTGACATAAAATTTTACCCTTTCAATTTTTTTCCTACATCCAACAATTGGGAATGTTGTTTCCAAACCCACATATTTGTGCTAAGTAGCTCAGATGGGAATGAGCTGATATTGAGACACATATTCATACAGCAGGCACACAGAATGACAGATATGTTCACCTCTTTTCTTCACAGTGGTGCTGATTATTCGCTTTGAGAACTGTAAAGAGTGATCGACAATAATTTTAAACCAAAACCAACACCAGTTGATGAAATATTTAAAACCTTCACATACAGAATTCTAATGAAACATATTGTACACTTCTCCATTCTGTACTCATTTGAAGGTGGTCATTTCAGGGTAAGAGTGCCAAGACCAAGTGAAAGATGACTGGAAGAAGCCACTATCTCTCCTCAACCTTAATAAGGAATGCACAGGGGTCTTCACAAGCATGCCTTCTCACAGCTGAGGAGAAAACCAGGTAAGATGACTACTGAGAAATGGGGACAGCTGTGGGTGTTTGCAGAACAAAAGCATGTGTGTACTGTTGACTTGACTGAAGAGACATGTTGAAGTGTTTTCTGACAGCAGGTGTAGTTGGGGAACAAGGAGTGACTTGGGGAATTACTAGGCTTAGCAGATCTACAGAGATAAAGCCTGAGTCACAGAGACTCAATGGCACCTTTTCACACCCAGATGAGTTAGTTCGCTGAGCTGAAACTAAAATAGGGGGAAACTGGCAGTTGATATTTGTCATTTTATCAGGGTTCCTGGAAGGTAAAAGAAATTTCTGTAAACTCTTACTTTTGAAGTGAACAAATGCCTATTTTTTATGTTCAATGGTATTTGAGAAAAATGAGAGTGTATATGCCCTATATTATTCATTAGGAACATAGTTTATGTCAATGGTATTATTTTTCACAAAGTTAATATAAACCATATCTTTCCAAAATATCCCTGTAAAACATAAAATTTTAAAGTATTTGGTAATAAACTAATTAAATTATATGTTTAATATATAATAAATATATATTATATATAGTTTGTATTTTTTATTGAATGTAATCTCAGGAAGGTAAATTAATTCATTGCCTTTGGTATCACTACTTTCTTTATAAAAAAATGATATATGAAATCATCACTTCTTAATTGTCATCTGAATAAAAATTGCTATAAAGTTATTTACAGAATCTTGGGCATATTGATAGTAAAATTTAAAAATCATTAAAGAAATAAATAAAAGGTAATTATGCCTTGGAAATACATGAGTTATTTTAAATACTAGCTTGCTTCTTACTGGCTCAAAAATGATAAAATTTACTCCTAAAGCAGAACTTCACCTTTACTTTTTGTTCTGAAATGAGGCAATATTCTCAAACTGCAGTGTTCAGGGAGTAAGACATTTTAAAAATATCTTACTTCTCCTCCTTTTTTTAAAAAAAATATTTTACTTCTTAAAAGAGGACCATTGCAGATATAACAGTGGGGTGTTCTGTCAGTTCTTCAGTAAATTATGGGTAATGATGCCAGAGGAGATATACTTAAAGTATATATATATATATATATATATTATTGGAGATGTGAAGCTCTTTCCTGACACTGCATTCTTGGGGGCAAATCTTTCTGCTAAACTTACGATGTTATGTGATACAATTCTGTGAAGCCCAAATGACTTATAGCCAAAACTTATCTGACTCAGTGTTTGGAAGTCAAATTCATTGAAGAAATTTTTACAATGTTTCCTGAGTTACACATTACTTTTCTCTGAAAAAAAAAATTATTTGTAATGCACATTAATGGAAACATGAATTTAAGAAACTGCATGGAACTTGACTCTTTAAAGTAAAATTGCCTATAAAGTCTAATACAGATATAAGAGCTTTAATTTTTAAAAATATTATTTCATGATTTTTTGTATATATATACACACACATTCATATATGTATTTTTGGATTTTCAAGGCAGGGTTTCTCTATGTACCATCCCTGGCTCTCAAAAATGTGCTTTATAGACCAGACTGGCCTTAAATTCAAAGAGATCCACCCGCCTCTGTCCTGAGTGCAACCACCCAGGGCTTTACTTTCTGCTTTAATACAACCTGCCAGCAGTTTCCCTTCCCTCCACTGCCCTCATCCCCCTCCACCTCCCTTCCCCCTGGATCCTCCCCTCCTACATTTCCCTTCAGAAAAGATGAAACAGTCACAGACTAATTAGACCAGTAACAAAAAGTTTATAAAGAGTACAGACTTCTCAGATGCCAGTGTGTAGCTGGCATGAATTCAGAACACTCCTTGACATCCTGTTTGGCCATGTGAATCCTTCACTCTCAGTGACTCCTTAACAATAGAGATGTAACACTAATATTTATCCAGGCACATGGAAATAAATAATGGCACATGCCACTTCCTCCTTCTTTCCCCTTGGCAGGTCTGGGATTAAGTTTCTCTTATATACAAACTTCTCATTGATCATACCAGGTCCTGTCTTAGGTGTGCTAAACTCACCATCAGTCGCTCAACTACCAGAGTTAGTACTGGGAGAAACACCACACTGTGGAAGAGACGGAAACCAGGAAATATCCTGTGAGCACAGGATGGTCAGGGACTAAAACTCTATAGTTAAGTTGGGGAATTTCTTTCTTCTGGAAGCCTCTAATCTTCCTTTATATTCCTCCAAGTCAAGGCTAACTTACTTTCATATCTTTAAATTGAAAGGTAATATTGGATGCTTCAAGAGAATGTTAACTGTATATTGTGGAAATAGTCCCTAAATTAAATGTCTGGTGTATGATGATGGGATCTTCACAATAACTAAGAGGTACATGCTAGCATTGCTCCTCTTCGTAGACAACCAAACCTTTAAAAAGTGCAATAAATATCTTGACATCAAAGCTTCTATTTGGCACGATGGACCTAAGTCTTACTAACTTCAGTGAGAAGAATATACTTTCAGGGACATGTTCTCAGTGTTTGCACATGGTATAACATGTCTGTAACTTTTATTTATTTATCTATTTATTACTTTTTTTTTTTTTACAAAGGGTCTCAGGTATCCCAGGCTATCCTGAAACTGACAGTGTAGTTGAGACCCAGAAGCTCTTATCCTTCTATCTCCACCACCCACCAACTAGGGTTACTAATATCTCTTATCTGCTTGGCAACTGAGAGTTATAGTAAAAGCGTTAGTTATATATCAATTACATGTAAATAAGCCTACAGTTTCAGAAGTAAGAGATATAGATTAAAAAGTACAAAAGTACAGGTGAGTGATATGCGTGTTCAGTTGCTTTGTTGAAATAGCCATGACTGCTTTGCTCCTTTGACTTCCTGGCTGTCTGCACTTGTATATACACAACCTCGGTGACTGGCGTCTCCTCCTCCATGCAAGAGAGTTGGGGCATTTTACTTTTTAAATGTTTTTACAAATGAAAATTTTACCTCATTCATTTAAAAAAATACTATTTGTACTTTTCTGGAGCTATTGAAAATACCTTAAAATTCTTTCATAATTTTTAGACACTCCATGCTTTTCCACCAAAATACCTAGATGAATTTTCTTCTATTGCCTTTCAATGGTCTTCTAAAAGTGCTATGCCTAGTGATAGAAACATAAAAATAAAAATCAGACAAAATTCCAAGTTAACCAGTGTTTCAAGGTAGCATTTAAAAAATTATCCTTGGAAATGAGCCAATAGGTCATTTAAATATTCCAAAGGCAAAATTTACTCCAAACAGACCTGTAACTCCTGTGTAATGAATGTTATCTAGAGAAATAAACAGAAAAAACATTATATTTTAGGCTATCTAAAATTTATACATAAATTTGGCTCTTAATACTAATTTAAAAAAAAGTTACAGTCATTCCAAATCCAATAAAGCTTGTTTTGAAATCTTGCTGTTAAGAAATAAACTGACCCAATTAGTACAATTTTGTTTTATAAATTATACGTATTTATTTATAGGATATTTCTCTATGATTTATGAACATTTACAATAATTTTTATAGCTGCTAAACTTGTCACATCATGATTCCAGCTTCTTCATAAGAAAGAGCATAGCAGAAGGTCCATTCTCAAATTTTCAGTGTTTCCATAAATCAAACGATATGCAGTCTTGATCCTTTGAGTAATAGGAAATCTACAAGAAGCTATTCATATTAATTTAACTGTGTTGTTATATAACCTGTCAGTTGCATAAGTGTCTATATAAATACCATCTCTAGAATCCTTTTTCAGTAGAGCAATTCCCCTAGGATCAGGCATTACACACTGAGTCCACCTAGCAGGAAGAACTTCATGCGATATTTAAGGATAAGTCGTCTGTACCAGGTAAACTGTACAGAGTTGCAGCAGACATGCCTGCTGCATGTATTCAAAACTCTAACCTGGTCTCAGGTTGATAAGAAGAGAAAGTCCCTGCAAACCATATTTATGCTAATGGGGAAGAGAGGCAGAAAGGCAGAAGCTCTGTGTCAAAGTCTACTGTGTTCTTTGCTTTTGAACTGACCTGGTGCCTGACAATTATGGGTGATGGAGCAATTGCAAGCGATCAATAATGCTATCACAGGATAGCAGTGGAGAATGTCCTGGTCTGAGAAGCACTTAGCATGCCTTTTGGTCCTATTAGCTGGCAAAAATAGATAATCTTGGAGTTAGAGAGAAAATGGTTATATTTGCTTTAAACTGAAAGTAAAGACATGAGTCTTTGAGAAATTTAAAAATACATTATTGGCTGAAGCTAGATGTTAGACGTCCTCACATACAAACTTGGCGTATGATTGAGAAGCCCCAAATAAAGTAATGCTGTTCCTTAAAGTCTGGCCTTAACCACTGTGGCTAACCACTAATGAGACACCTGCTCTAAAGCAGACGAAGAGTTATTTATTTTTCAGGTTGCTGTAGAGTTTAACATTTATCAACATAAAAAAATATTTACATTTTGCAGATAAAGACGCTAAAGTCAGGGAGCTTGTCTTTGAAAGTGGCAGTTGTGGGGGATTGGAATCCAATTCTATCTCTCAAAAAAAAAATTTCCCTCTGATACTTTTCCTGCCTTTAATAGAGAAGGCTGAACTGATTCTGGAGGTAATTATAATTTATTTTATAAGAGTGTTAACTTTGTTGTCAATTGTATTAGCATTAATATTTAAAGGCATTTAAAATAAACTTTAGTTGTCACCATTATGCACTGTAGGTTCTGTGTTTACAGGTTTTGCAAAGGGAGGTCAAAGAATCTCACTTATATGACTGTGAGTTCTACATTTTAGCAGAGACTACAGAACAGAGTGCTGTAGCTGAGGCAAGGTACAGAAGCTGTAAAGGCGTCCCTAAGCCTTAAGCCAAGTATCTCTACTGACAGAAATCGTGTAGGGAGCCCCTCACCCCAGCCAGGAACAGTGAAGAGACACAGAGCAACTACATGATATGCGTGCTCCCAGCACCTGCCCTCCAGGAGGGTCTCCTCAACTTTGACAGCTTTTTTGTTCTGCAGATGATCTGGTGCCTCCTGAGGTATGTTAGCACACAGAATGAAGGCTGTGCCAGAGAAGAGAACATTCTGCTGACTGAAGGAAAAGCAAGAACTAATCCTGACACCGACTTTTAAATAGCCCCAAGTGGCCCTGCAGGTGGTGTGAAAAGATTTGTTTACTGAGTACAGATGCTGAGCAATGCTACCTCGGAGTGAAGGGCTGAGCTGAGCGTGCTGACCTGCTGATGTAGAACTAGAACACAACCACTTCTTCCATCAACCGCCTTCAAAGGGTCATTAAATCTCATAAGACGTGCATTTGAGGAGTTAAAGTTTCCAGGAAACCGAGGGACAAAATGATGACAGGCTGTGCTCTTCAATGGATGATGGTAAGTGCTATTATGGTCAATGACTACCATCTCCGTAGAACCTCAACTTAGGAGAATAATACATGCACTACATATACACACGCATATTCATTTGAAAAAGAATGTACCTTATAGGCTAATTCAGATCAACATATTTGAATGCCTATCCCCAGGGGCAGAACTATTTGAGAGAAATAGAGAGTTGTGGCCTTGTTGGAGAAGGTGTGACTCTGAAAGTGAGAGATTTGAGGGTTCAAAGGACCAGTGAGGGTCTTTGTCTCTTCTGCCTTCTTACTGTGAGCTCTCAAGATGGAAGCTTTCTACTACTGCTCCAGCACTGTGCCCGCCTGCCTGCCTATTGCTGTGCTCCACACCATGAATGACATGTTCTCTAACCCTCTGAAACCTTAAACTCCAAGTAAATTCTTTGTTCTAGAAGTCATCTTGGTCACAGTGTTTTGTCACTGCAATAGAAATGTAAGAATACATGCATTATAGAAAGGGCATGTATACAAATATGCATGTCGGTGAGAGTGTATGTTCCTAAGGGAAGGGCAGAGGCAGATGGCAGCCGTCTTCCTCTATACTTCTCTACCCTTTGAGACAGGGTTTCCCCTTGAACTGAGAATACACTGATTGCTTAGACTGTCTGGCCAGCAAGCTTCTAGAATCCTTCTTTCTCTGCCTACTGGAATTGGAATTATCGTAGAGTGCCTCCAGCACTCCAGTACCAGGGTTTTTATGTGGGTGTTAGGCACCCCAAAATCAGGTGCCTATACTTACATAATAAGCAAATTACCCACTGAGCCTTCTGCTCAGGTCCGGAAACATTCTTGAATTGACAAAAACAGAGTTCTATAATATACCTACTGTATTGAAAATATTTATTTAGAGAACTCAATAATTTATAGAGATTCTACACCCTTCACTGAACTACTAGCAGAGCTTTGTTTACAGAACAGAATTCATTGGTAGAAGCAATGGATTGCTTACCCTTCTCCCAAGAGGAAAATAGCAGCAGCCTTTTATCTGTTTCCTCCAAAAAGTTAAGATAGAATTGTAGACAAGATGAAAAAAAAAATCTTACTATTGTATATTACATTCAGTTTTCAAATTACACACTGTGAACTAATCCACAATTTCCTTAAATAAATTTACTTACCTGAAGATGATATGTTTGGTAAAAAAAGAAAATTAAACTCTAGAGTCTCTAAACTAAAAGTCCATACCTTGGACACTTTTTCATCCTGTTATGATATAAGATCTCTGCTAGTGATATTAATTGGGAAATTTTCTATTGCTCAGTCATAACTCTATGGATAGGTATGTTATGGGAGCCTAGTTAGTATACAAGTACAGCTTCGTGCTATGGATGAGTAGCTCAAAGTTCATATCAGAAGAGAGATTTGAATAGAAAAGAAAATGTCTTACTTGGTTAAGTATATCTTGTTTCTGTTCATGCAAGGAAAGAAAGAATACATGTGTTAATGTTAAAGAATTTGTAGCCATTATCTCACTTTGCTGATATTTTCGTTAAAAAGTTAAGGTTATAGATTGATTTGAAAATGTAAGCTGTGTAGACGGGTCTCAAAATGCTGTTGCAAAACAACCGCATCAACATAGAGGGGAAACTGCCAGAGAAGCCAATCATGGGCCCCACCCCAGAAACAGTCAAGGAGCTTCTAGAACAGGAGGAGGCAGGCAACAGGCCATGCTCTAAGAAGGGTTCTGTGAGTCTGATGAGAATGGAACATTCAGAACACTTGACCAGACAAACCTTTGAGTATACACAAATAGTTCCTTTTGGTTTGAATCAAACATCATGAATAAAACACAATATAATTAAAATCTTCCAGAGAAGGTAATAAAAACGGTATATATAAACATATATTAGAGTTGAATTATTCCTCTCTTACATTGTTTTATTTTTATTAGTAAAACATAACAAATTGTCCAAGACTGAAGTATTTTGGGAATCAAATTTAACATCCAAGACAAAAACAAACAAAAAACCCCAAACATGCAAAAACAAGCTGATTTTCTCATATACCAAAGTTTACTAGCTTTATGAGAAGCATCATTATATCTTGCTGAAAATGAATTTATTTTAAAACTTCACTTTTATTAATTTAAGAACATAAGACTTACTTGCTTACTTTATTTATTTATTTAATAACTTTATCAGACTTATTAAGATTTTAATTTTTAGAGAACATTCAAAACTATTTAGATTTACCTTACACAATTTTTCTAGAAAAGATTATAAAAGAGTTTTTAAGTACAAAAACCAAATATAACTGATTATGTTCATATCTTTTGTCTAGTATATTTTGTACTAAAATAGTTCTAAATAGACCACATTTCCATTGATAGAAGTTTTCCATACAACCTTTCATATTACTTTTAACCAACTATAAGCAAGAAAATGTATTTAATTACTTAATTTACAAATGTAAGTGAAAGTCAAGGGATGTGTCCTTTGCTTTCAGTTTGCAAACACAATTCATGGGAGTAATAAAAATTATGCTTATTTTAAAGCAAAAGATCAACTATCTTTTCTAAAACTATGCTTGATTAAATACTTTTCTAATTTTTCTTCTATAAATTATCACTTATCTATAACTGTGCAAATAATGTTTGGGTAATTTGGTCAAGACAGAATAATAACTTCCTATGTAATTTGAGAATAAGAATTTTTTCATAGTGTTGATTTAATTTTTAATAAACCAAATGAGGTTTCTAGAAAATTATCTTGAGTGGCTTCATTTTCACTATCAGATAATCCTAATTATTTTCTCATGGCTTTTATAAGACACAGAATTGCTTTTAAAAGAATCATACTAGCTTTAATTTTTTCCTCTTAAACTAAAAATCTTTCCAATATTTAGTTTAAAGAATAGTTTTATTTTTCTTACTCTTAATGTAGAGTTGCTATTGGGTCATAATAAGATCTAGCTTTCTGATTTTCAACTATTATCATCTTAAGGCATTCAATAAATTTGAATATTCTGGAGAGTTAGCATGTAATTGAAGAGCTGACATTATATTGTGTTTATGAACAATCTGGTAATTGTTCACTAAATTTATGAACACTGGTAATTACTGTACTTAATTCTGTAGTGACTGTTAATCCTCACAAAACAGCTAATAGTAATGGAGAGAGTCTTGGAGTTCTTTATATAGGGAATCCTTGAGGGAGAAGGGCTACAGTGAAAACAATATTGCTACATGCAAATTCTAAGTGAACTGATGAGCAGTTTAGAAAGGCTACATGTTTCAAGTGTAAACATAAGGATGCATATACTCAGGTGCCACTGGAGCATTGTGTATTAATAGCATTTGTAGTCTGACAGCAATTCACTTTGTGGTCTTCTTCCTTCCCCAATCTATTATCTTGGCCTTTGGGATTTCTCTGTATTATATAAATATCCACCAAATTTATCTCTTTTGCTATGCAATATATGTAAATACAAAATATCAGGGACACACACGGCATGTATGTGGGTTTTTGTTTTGTTTTATTTTTGTTGTTGTTGTTTTGTGCTTTTTTTGTTTTATTTGGCATCTTAAGGGGGAAATGGCATTAAAATTGTTGATACATTCTCCACCATTAGAAATCACTAAAGTCATATTGCAAAGCATAGGTTCTTTTGAAATATATAATCATATATCATAATGTAGAGAAAATAAGAAAACATGAAATGAAGATCAATGTGGTAGTAGATGTCTGCGTTCTTCACACTTGAGTAACTGCGGTAAGAGTGTGCAAGTTGAGTCCGTGAAGGTGACTCTAACTGAGACTCCTAGCAGCCAGGGATATGGAACCTGAAGTTGCCACCTCCTGTAGCCGGGTGGGGCTTCCAGTGGAGGGAGGGAAACACCAAGCTGCCCGTAGAACCTTCGACCCAAAATTTGTCCTGCCGACGAGAAGTGTAGGAATAAAGATGGAACAGAGATTGAGGTAACGGCCAACCAATGACTGGCCCAACGTGAGACTCATCCCATGGGAGAGAGCCTGACATATTAATGATACTCTGTTATGCTTGCAGTCTTCTCAGAGGCTTCATCCAGCAGCTGATGGAAACAGATGCAGAAACTCCCAGCCAATCAATAGGCTGAGCTTGAGCTCAGGAAGTTCTGGGGGAAGATTGGGAGGAAACACTGAGAGAGTCTGAGGGGGTCAAGAACTCCACAAGACCTACAGAGTAAACTAACTTGGACCCATGGAGCTCACAGAGACTGAACCAACAGCTAAAGAGCAGGCATAAGCTGGACCTAGACCCCCTACACATATGTAGTAGATATGCAGCTGGGTCAGCATGTGGGTCACCTAACAAAGGGGTTGTTTCTGACTCTGTTGCCTGCCTTTGGATCCCTTTTCCCTAGCTGGGCTGTCTTGTCTGGCCTCAGTGGGAGAGGATGAGCTTAGTCCTGCTGAGGCTTGATGAGCTAGGGTGTGTTGGTACCTATGGGGGAGAGAAAAATGGGAGAGTCATGTTTGAAGGTAGGATGGGGAGAAGAGGAAGGAGGGGACTTTGATCAGGCTGTAAAGTGATTAAATAAATAAATCAATAAAAAGAGAAATCACTATAAAGTCACATTGTAAAGCATGGGTTACTTTTGATAAACATAGTTAGGTATCATAATGTAGAGAAAGTAAGAAAACATGAAATGAAGACCAATGTGGTAGTTCTTCAAACTTGAATGATGTGGGCAAGAGTTTGCAAGTTTGAGAACAGCCTGAATGAGGTCTTATCTAGAGAGAGAGACTCTGAAGTTATAATTTAGATATTGAACAAAATATTCCACTGAGAAAAGATCTTATGGTGAGTAAGGATTATGTTTTTATGAATATGCAAAATTTATATTTCTGTCTATAAACAAATCTAGATGACATATTTAGATATAGAATTTTGCAAAGTTCTGTTTGTTTTTATTCTCATATATTCAAACATCAGGTGGTAAAGCTAAAACGAACTGACAGCAATTATGATCAGACTCAAAATAGAACATCTCTCAGGTGATATTAAGTGGGAGATTACTTAACAAATAATTTGGAGATGAATTCTGTAAAATATGTTATTCAAAGAGAATTTTTGATGAAGCGGGAAAAGTACTTGTAAATATAAAAATACAAGATAAGAAGAGAATTTAATTGTCCTTTGACTGGCTGCTTAAGACACAATGGTTATACCCACTTCAAAGTGTGATTTTTGTTTAAGGAATAATTTCCTGAAAGTAATTACTCCCTGCCCCTTACCCATGCCCATTTTAGATTAAAAGCTGCAGATCATAGGGGCAGACTTAACTGGATCCTTCTTTCTTCTATCTAATCTTGTTTCCTAACTTCTAGAAAAATAAACCTCAAATAGTATATTAATGATATATATTTTCTCAAGTACAAACATGATAGGAGTATTTTCGTTAATAAATATAGTATAAAAATACTAAATATAGTAACTACTAAAAGTACTAAATATAGTGGCCTTCCAGAATATCAGTCTGTTATGAACTAAAGTGTATGGAATGTGCTAAATGGTTTATGGTATGTGAGATATATACATGTATGTGTATATATGTATACAGATACATATATATGCAGAGGTATATGTGTGTGCATTTACATAAACACACATATACACATTTTCCTAGAATTTTCATGAAGAAAATTCACACAGCAAGCACATTATTAAACTGATAAAGAAAAAAGGAAGCTTTACCCCTTCAGGATTATATTTTGCAAGCACGCCATTACCATGGAATTCTTCAAGAACATCCTTTAATTTCTTCGTGGAATCTACAATAACAACAAAGAAAAGAGAGAGAAATCACACAACCATTTATATAATTCTAATATGTTTATGTAGTCCAGCTCAAAAACAAAGATATTTACTATAAATAATCATTCAACAGAAACCAAACTTTAAAACCAACACATGAAATGTCTTTTCAGGGAGTGGGGAAGCTGAGAAGGGAGCCCAGATCCGTGCACAAACTAGATAGGCATTCTACCATTGCAGTCCATTACCAGCCCCAAATGTCTATCATTAGCCATAAAAGCTAATGACAAAGTAATGAAGGGAACATATATATATATATATATATATATATGCCAAGTATATTCTTTAGAATTCAGATCAAAGTCTATTAGTCTATTATATAAGTAAGTGGCAAATAAATGAAGAGAAACTCTTGCTATACTTTGATAGTGTAATGTCAGAGTACAATAAACCTAACTTAAAAAGATAGAGTGTCATCTTCCCGTGTTAAACCACAGACTACTTACTCAGGTAGATTGCCTGCTTAAGTCACCTTTCAACAACCTGGTAACAACTGTCTCTGCCTAGGTTATATTTTTATCATCAGTGTGCACAGTGCTTCACTTTCAGTTTCCATACTTTCCAGTACCTTCTGCAACCATTGCATCTGCTCATGTCAGAGCATTTCACCAACATGAACAGGAAAGTGAACTCTTTAAGTCCTCTTTGATCTTTTTCCTTCTTTCCAGTCCCATCACATTCAATCAATTTCCTAGTCTATGGGTTTGCCTATGCTGAGCATTTTTTGGTAAATGGCATCACATCACACACTGCTCTGTCTCTGCTTTCATTCTATTAGCATAGTGTCTCCAAGCCCATTTCATTCCTTTCTCTACCTGACTAATACTCCATTGCATATAGACATTTTTATTAACAAATGTACATTTGGCTTTTTTGGGGGGGGTATATGAAAAATGCTGCAACACAGAAACAGGTAAGCTTTTGGGAAACTGTTTCAATTCTCTTCAGTAAGAGAAGACTCGCTCACTCCAGGTCTGATAATTTGAAGAACTGACACAAGAATCTTCACACTAACAACACTATTTTTTTTAATGGTCTCACAGTAATAAGTATAACTGGTTCAGTTCCAACATTTGATATTTTCTGATCTCTTTAGCATAATCATCTGTGGATTCACAATGCTTTCATTATGTATCTTGTTAAATCATGTACTAATGAGTGATGAGCATGTTTTCACATGATTATTGCTTATTCTTTCATTTACGGGTGTGTCTGCACATGTGAGCCCGCTTGTGTGTGGAGAGATATGCAAATGGGCAGGTGGATATGTCATGCCTTAGGAGCCAGCCACCTTGTTTTGTGAGACAAGTTCCCTGGTTTGGCCGGAAGCTTGCCAAATAGGCTGGTCTGTCTGAATGACCAGAAGTCTTCCTGCCTTTTTCTCCCAGAACTGATACTACAACCCCCCACTGCCCATTACTGTGCCTTTTGTTGTCGCTCATTACTTGATTTTAATACAAAGGCTTGGGCTTGAACTCAGATTCTCATACTTGCAAGCTAAGTACCTTACTAACGGAGCCATCTTCTAGAGCTTTGATAACTTACATATTCATGAGAGGAAAATCTATTCAAGCCTTTTGCCCTTTTTAAGTGGGTTGCTTGTATTGTTGCTGTTATCGTCTGGGCTTTGTGTTTATTTGTTTGAAGTCTATACATCATCCTATGTTTTTCTTTTTGGCATGTATTTTACTAGCATTTTCTGTCTGTGATCAGAGTTGATTTGCTGTAATGCCAAGCACTGGCATATAAATAGTCAGAAATTAATATTTTTTTCTTTTTATGTACAACTTTCAGTTTTATTATAAAATCAAATAAACACAAGGATTTAGTTTAGAGGGCAGAAGTGGTCCATACTGGTGTTGGGCTTGCCTAGTATCTATCAGCTTAATTTTCAGTCCCTAGCACCAACATGAAAAACAAAGCAACAGTTCCAACAGCAGAAAACTGTACCCAGTACCCTCTACCCCATTTCTCACCCTACAATTCTTCCTGTTTTCTTAGAGGTCTTCCAGACCCACTGACACAGGTAAGCCCCTCCCCTTCCAAGCCCCTGTTTGCCAACTTCCTTGAAAGCATCTCCAACAGTAGAAACCTGAACCTCATATTTTGCACTCCATTTCCTCAGATACAACTCTGCCTGCCTTCTGGGAGGCTTGCCAAACCCAGCCTTTCCTCCCCAAAGTCCCTGCCTGACAACTGCTCTGAAAGCACCCCAACAGCAGTAAACTGATCCACATAGCATGAAAGTATTTGGAAACCTGCTTCTGGGTTGCCTAGCAACCTATGATGCCATCCTGTAGCCAACTAGGTGGCCATATCTGGAAGTCTTGGTTACCTTCCTCCTTAAAGGGACCAGCCCGCCATATGGTCCCTCCCTTGGTCTCTTCTCTCTTGGCTTCTTGCCTCTTGTTCCCTCTTGCCCTCTCTCCTTTCTCTGTCTGGGCGCCCCCGTCTCCCCCACCCCCTATCATGTCCTGCTCTCCCTTCTCTCTCTCTCTTCATCTCCATCTAATAAGCCGCTTTCATATAAGATCTGTTGTGCGTCTAATCGTCAGTATTTAATCTGTTCCCCAACATATACTGTGTTCCATTCTCAACCCCACTATTCTGACTGCTTTCCTGGAGGTCTGCAGTCACAAGGAAAAACCAGGTAAGGTCCTTCCCCAAGCACATGCCTACCAAATTCCCCTAAAACACACCCATCAACCTTGAAATACACCACAACCCCTGGATTAATTCTTCAGCTGACAACCCAGCCTGCTTTCCTGGAAGCCGGTCAACACCAGATACAAAAGGCCACTCTGAAACTAAGCACCCAACAGCACTCTAGAGGGCACACAGGCCATAAAACCCCAGGGGAGACACCCTACAGGACCTGAAGACCAGCTAGGCACCAGAACCCCAGGCCACTCAGGCCCATAGCCAGAGTGGAAAGAGAAATCAAGGGAAAACATTAAAAAAGCACCCAACCAACAAAGGTATACTCAGAAATCAGCATCTAAAATTGTAATAACCTCAAAAGCACAATCAAAAACAGCCAGGAAAGTATGGCACCACCAGAGTCCAGCTATCCTATCAAACTAAGCCCAGGGAATCCCAACACAGCTGAAGCACAAGAAAATGACCTTAAATCCAATCTTATGAAGATGAAAGAGGCCTTCAAAGAGGAAATGAATAAATCCCTTAAAGAACTACAGGAAAATAAAATCAAACAGGTAAAGAAAATGAGTAAAACTGTTTAAGATCTGAAAATGGAAATAGAAGCAATAAAGAAAACATAAATAGTTAATCCTGGAGATGGAAAACCTAGGGAAGAGAACAGACACTATAAACACAAGCGTCACCAATAGAACACAAGAGATGAAAGACAGAATCTCAAGCGTGGACGATATAACAGAAGAAATCAATACTCAGTTAAATAAAATGTTAAATATAAAAAGTTCCTGACACAAACATCCAGAATACTATGAAAAGACCAAGCCTAGCAATAACAAGAGTAGAAGTTTTCCAGCTCAAAGGTCCAGAATATATTTTAACAAAATCATAGAAAAAAAATTTCCCTGACCTAAAGAAAGAGATGCCTATAAATGTGAAAGAAGCTTACAGAACAACAAATAGATTGGAGTAGAAAAGAAAATCCTCCCACCACATAATAATCAAAACCCTAAATGTATCATGTATTGAACAAAGAAAAAATATTAAAAGCTGCAAGGTAAAAAGGCCAAGTAACATATAAAGGCAGACAGACCTATTAGAATCACACCTGACTTCTCAACAAAGGCTCTAATAGCTAGAAGGCTTGGGCAGGTGGCTGTCTTTCAGTCTCTAAGAGACCACAATGCCATCTCAGACTCCTATTCCCAGCAAAACTTCCAATCACCATAGAGGAAGAAAACAAGATATTGCATGACAAAACCAAATTTAAACAATATCTATCCAAAATCCAGCCGGATAAAATAATTGCAGAAAAACTCTAACCCAAGGAGGTTAGCTTCACTTAAGGTAACACAGGAAGTAAATATTTTCACAGTAGTAAAAGCAGAAAAAAAGAAACACACACTACCAACAACAACATCAACGTAACAGAAATTAACAGTCACCAGTCACTAATATCTCTCAACATCAATGGAATCCAATAAAAAGACACAGCTAACAGAATGAATATGAAAACCGAATCTATGTTTCTGCTTCATACAAGAAATATACTTTTGCATCAAAGATAGACATTACCTCAGAATAAAAGGCTAGAAAAGGATTTTCCAAGCAAATGGACCCAAGAAGCAAGCCAGAGTAGCCACTCTAATATCTAACAAAATAGACTTTCAACCAAAATTAATCAAGAGATAGGGAAGAACACTTCATAGTCATCAAAGGAAAAATTCACCAAGATGATGTCTTAATTTTGAATAGCTATACCTCAAATGCAGGGGTACTCACATTCATAAAAGAAATATTACTAATGCTTAAGTTACACATCAAACCTCACACTTTAACAGTGGAAGATTTCAATTACACACTCTCACCAATGGACAGGTCATCCACATGGAAACTGAGCAGAAAAACACTGAAACTGACAGATGTTATGATCAAATAAATATAATAGATACCTATAGAACATTTCACCCAAACACAAAAGCATATACATTCTTCCCAGCACCTCCCAGAACCTTCTCCAGTATTGACCATATACTTAGACACAAAGCAAGTCTTAATAGATATAGGAGAGCTGAAATAACCCCTTGTGTTTTATCAGACCATCAGAGTTTAAGCTGGACTTCAACAAAAACAGAAACAGCAGAAAGACCAAAAGCTCATGGAAACTGAATAACACCCTACTCAATGATTACTGGGTGAAGGAAGAAATAAAGAAATCAAAGACTTTCTAAGACTACATGAAAATAAAGGCACAACATACTCAAACTTATGGGACACAATAAAAGCAGTGCTAAGAGAAAAA